TTCGAATTAGCTCGATTGATTTCCGTGTTCTTCTGACTTCTGTTTTTCGGTGTTATTCCCAGGATCTTTGGACGACTTCTTCCATTTTCCCAATGACAACTGTTTCCTCTTCCCATTCCGAAGGCGTTGTCGGCTCCTTCGGCTGAGCACCCTCACAAGACGGGGAGGGCGTAGTGGGAGCTGGACAGGCGCACCACCGGCTCCTCGTGCCCGTCTGGGAAGACGAGCACGGATTTCTCCATGATGAGATTTGCTCCGGCCTTCTCCAGGTAGTCCAGACCCAGCAGCATCGGTGACTTCGTCTCGACCAGATCGAACCACAGCTTGCTCTTGTCCTCGACCAGCGCAATGGGATGCTCGAAACCAAACCTCCCGATGGACTGTCCCTTCTCGCCTCGGGCATAGGTGAAGTTCGTCTTCTTGGTGTAGTCCATCTCGACCTGGTCCAGGCCCGTCTCGGCGATGATAGTCTCCTGAATCGCAAGCGCCAGATCCATACCAATCATGCTTTTCGATGCCCCGGTGTCGATGATCGCGTATCTAAGCATCTCCTCATGTACCCAGCCGGCTTGTCCTGCTTCCGGAGCATCTCCTTCATTGTTGTAGTTATTCTCTTCGGCGTCGATTGCATCCACGAAGCATTCGGTGGCCATCTGCATGTTGTTGCCGTCGGTTCCTGTGTTGCCGCGCCTCGGACAGTCGACAGTTCGATGGGGTCCTTGGCAAATCAGGCAATCTTTGGCAATCGATGAGGTCCCTTGCCCTTACCCTTCTGCAGACGTCTCGCGAACGACTGCGGCGGGGGAGGGAGTTCTCCACCTTGTGGTCCTGGAAGTCGGGGTGGACGAAGTGCCGACTTTGCTGCTGCTGTCGCCCTCTGATCCTCGCTGTGTTTCTCTGGGATCTGACCGATGCCCACCACTGGGAAGTAGCCACTCCTGTTCTTGGCCGCCTCGGCCAGCATCTTCTTCGCCTCTGCGAACGTCCTGTTGGCATCCTCTGCGTATGCCTCAGCGTCTCGATCTCAGCATCCTCTGCGTATGCCTCCAGCGTCTCGATCTCCTCGTTCCCAGTCTCTTCCTCATAGTGAGCTTCGGCCTCCTCTGTCTGCTCAAACTCATCCTCTTCATAGTAGACCAGTTGGTCATCCTCGTCGTCGTCATCCTGGCAGTTCACCTTTGCCCGCCTGATGCCCCGGTTGTTCTGGAACCGCGTCTCTCTCCTTCTCGAAATCAGATTGTCCCTGGCCGTCAGATCTGTGTCGGACCACACGTACTTCAGCTTGTCAATGACCGCCTCGATCTTCCAGTCGTGTAGACCTGCCACCACAGTGGCTCGCTCACTCGGATTCAGGTTCGCAATCACCAGGAAGATGATGCCACGCATCTCGTCCGGAATCAGGTCCATCACGTCCATGTCCGGGCAGATTGCCTGCACATTCTTCTCCATCTTTTGATAGGCGTCCTCCTCCTGTTCCGCGTACAGCCCGATCGTCTGCCCCAGTTTCCTCACTCTCGGTCCCGATGTTCTCCGGTCATAGTAATATGAGAACACCTTATCTACCACATCATTCGAGGCCTGCTTGCCTAGACTTTTCGGGAACACTCTGATCAGATTCTCAGGGCCCTTCTCGCCAACGATCGTGTCGGGCTCTCCTTCGACTCGCGGAAGTCGGAGGGCCAGCTTCTTGTGCACGGAGTTCTTGGGCAGCGCTTGCACTAGACGTGGGTCCAACAGCTTCCTGTCATCCTCCTTCGTCGCCAAGGTGAGTAGCTCCACTTCGGCCTGATACTCGTCTAGTGTCTCCGTCCGTCCCACACTGGAATCCTCTGTACGTCGACCTGCTGGCCCGTGCTCGACGACGCCATGACTAGTCAGAATCCACTTCAACCAAGCTCCTCTTATCAATCTCGTCGGGGTAACTCGCGAGAGTACGTAAATATAGCCGATGCCGATAACAATTGAACTATATAATGACATAGGAAAGGTAACTCTCGTCCACAGGACAAGGGTGGGCTCGTTCACGAGCCGAATCAGTATCTGATATGAAGCCGCGCACAGAAAGCTCGAGCACTGAATATAGTTACGGAATCGGATCGGAGGTTTCGTTGAAACGTTGAAGCGGTACCAGATCGGAGGTTCCCGAAATCCTATGAATTTCTCCCTTGGAAATCTGATTTCTATGACAGAGGTGGCCCAGAACCGGTTCCGGCCAGCAGGAAGGGGGGCGAGGTTCGAGGTTTTGGGTTCGAGAATGTTTTTTTTGTTCTGTCGCCAGGGGCCGTTTTTGGACCCCGGGACCGTCAAGAACGGACTCGAGGTGGACCATGGGAGGGATCTGGGGTCCGATGTTGAGCGGATTTGCCAGTACCCCTCCCCCGTCTAGACAGATTTTCGCACAGCCGCCTCCAAGCCTCGCCTGTCTTGTGAATGGCGGCATGTTCTCGCAACCAGCGTGGGTTCTGAGCGGGTTTGACGGAGATTCGACGGACATTCGGCGTGGATTCGACTTGATTTTGACGCGGGTTCGACACGCTCGGCACGGGTTCGATGCGGGTTCGACGCGGGGAGCGGCTCCAGGGGACAGGCAAAAGGCCCCCCGAAGATATGCAACAGAAGCTTGCGCGCCAGTGGCCATCTGTTTTCCAGTCGATTTTTCTGGTCGCGGACTCCATTCAGGGGCAACGTTAGGGGGGGGGATCGTCAGACCCAGACATCGGGCGTCTCGAAAAAATCGAGACGGACGTTTTTGGTCGTTTTAGGCCTCCTGGGGCCCTCGCCGGGCCTCGGGGCCAAGAAAAAACGACTCGGGGTGAAAAACCAGTCCTGGGGAAGCGGTCGTGAGGTCGGGGGGCTGTGTCTCGACAACAATCGAGACGTCGGATGTCTGGGGAGGAGGGCGAGTTTGGACAACGGCAGCTGGCCTTCGGGGGCCGCCCCCTCGTCGCCACGGCGGGACGCAGCTCGGAAAGCAGGCGCGGCTGGGCCCTGGGAGTGGTCTGGCCCAGGCACGGCCTCGGAGCCGGCCGTGTCTCAGGTCGCCCTGCTCCGAGGTGGGCTCCGGGAGAGATGCCTCGCCGACGGGGGCCCGACGGGAGGAGGAGGAGGAGGAGGAGGAGGAGGAGGAGGACGTCCGTTCATCGCCGACGCGGGCCCGACGGCCCAGCCCGCCCCAGGAGCGCGCGGCTTCTCTGCTGGGAGGCTGTCGCAGATCCCTCGGCGAGGTATCGCCGATTTCAGGCCGCTGTTTCCCCCGCGCCCCGGAGTCGCCCCCCCCCCCCCCTGGCGTGCCCTTCAACCCAGAGGCCGCGTCTCAATTTGGCATTATTCTTTCCTCTCTCTCTCACTCACTCTCTCACTCACTCACTCACTCACGCAAGCTTCTCGTCTCTCTCTCTCTCTCTTTCTCTCTCTCTCTCTCTCTTTCTCTCTCTCTCTCTCTCTCTCCCTGGCTCCCCTCCCGCCACGGCTTCCTCGGTGCCTCTTCGCTCTTTCCTCCGCCTCCTCGGCTTTGTGGCCCTCCTCCTTCTTCGATCCCTCTCTCCCGCTCCCATTTCCCCGTGCCCTTTTCCACCCACCTAGTCATCTTCTCCTTTTCTTCTCCTCCTTCCTGCTTCTTCTCGTTCGTTTCTCCTCCTCTCTTTGTTTTTGTTCCGCTTACCTTCCCAATGTCATTCCGCATCCTCGTCTTCTTTCTGTTCTCATGCCTCCCCCTGACCATGCTGGTCAAGTTTTCTTCTCGCCCTCCTGCCCCTTTTGTAAGTCGATGAGTGCCCGCGTGCTGGTGAGCATATCACTCAGCGATTGTAGAAGGGGGTTAGTCTAAGGCGGCACCGCTTCTATTCTCTACGAGTTTTTCTAATCGAGCTAGACTGGAGCTGCATTTGCATTTCGATTGCACTCGCGTGTATCATTTCATGTGTGAGCGGTTTACGCCTTCCAGACTTTACCTCGAGTAAGCAGTTCAGAGATCGCATGGCTCAATTCTGAAGCTGTAAAACTCTTGCCGTGTCGGCTAGATGCTCTTTCTGTTTTTCCTCCTTCACGCGGACAGGATTTGTTGTCACAGTGGCAGCGGCGTCCGTAAGTTGTACCATTCTCGCGGCTTCCGCCAGGCCCGCTGGCCACCGCTCGTAGGAGAGCCCGATTGGCTCCTGGGAGTTGCGAGGCTCGGAGCGACAGACGCGGCAGCGAGACAGGCCAGGACGCGGGGAAGCGGGGTGGGAAGGATGGCCCTTTTCCTTTTCGCCACCTCCTCCTCCTCCTCCTCCTCCTCCTCCTCCTCCTCCTCCCTGCCTCGGCCTCCGTCCCCCTCCTTGCCCCGCCGTGTTTTCGTCTCAGTCTTCTCAGTCTTCCTCTTCCCCGTGTCCTCGGCCTCCCCCGTTCACCTCCTCCATCTCCTCCTCTCCTCCTCTGCCCCCTCCTCCTCCTCCTTCTCCTCCTCCTTGTTTTCCTCCTCCTCCTCCTCCTTCTCCTCCTCCTCCTCCTCCTCCTCCTCCTCCTCCTCCTCCTCCTCCTCCTCCCCCCTCCTCCTCCCCGCTCCTCTGCTCCTCCCCCTCCTCCCCGCTCGTCCTTCTCCTCGCGGGCGCAGGGCCGCCCAGCGATGCCTCCACGGCGGGGGCCCGCGGAGCTTCACCCCTCCAATGCGAGCACGCAGCCGCCGGCCTCCGCGCGGAGTGTCGCGAGGGCCGCCAAGAGGGCCGGGGGAGAGGGGGGGCCCGAGCACAGCCGAGCGGGG